GCCAAGGAAGAATTCGAACATGCCAACAAGTTCATGGAATATCAAAATAAACGTGGTGGTACTGTTGTACTTTTGGACATCAAGGTTTGATAATTAGTTTATTTTCCTTGCTTGTAATAATGATCTTATTTTCTGAAATTTAGAAACCAACACAACAAAGCTGGGCCTCGCCTCTTGAAGCGCACCAAACAGGTTTACAATTAGAGAAGGATGTTTACCAAGCATTACTCGAATTACATGCCACGGCTTCAAAACACGCGTATGAATTTTGATTAGAGTCTCATCTATAAATATATTAAATTTTGTTCTAGTGATCCGCATCTGACGAATTATCTTGAAGATGAGTTCCTCGATGAACAGGTGACGTAATATTTTCTTCTATAATCTTTTTCTAATCTTTTGTTTTTCTACAGGTCGAATCAATCAAACAATATGCTGAAAACATCGTCAACTTACGTCGTGTTGGCGCTGGTCTTGGTGAATACATTTTCGACAAGCATGTTAAAGACTAAAATGTCAACAACCAACGACTATAAGAACATTTTCGTCCCACATGCTTTCTTCATTAACAAAAAATATGAAAATCTACGTTTCATCAGTTCATCCTGTTTTTTTTTGATTATTCTAACATCCATTTTTATCAATTGAATCAATCCTTTTTTCTCCATGTCATCGTGATTCTATATTGAAAAATCAATAAAGCAAAAGAGCATATTTTCGACATCGATATAAAATATCTTTGTTGAAAAATTAATGACATATAAAAATACTAATGAGTCATTTATTTCGTTGTTTAATACGTTCTATTGAAAAATTAATGGCATCAGTAAAAATTAGTGCTTTTACATATTTTATGTTTTATCATCGAGTCTTATGAATATCGAAGAGACGTTTGCGCTTCTGATCACTATCACTAATGAGATAGAGTTATGCACAAAAACAAATAATTATTTGCTCATCAGATAAGGAGCCGTAACGTTTTTCGTGTTTCGATAAACAAATATTGGTGACGTTTGTAGTAGGGGCGCATGTGTTTGTACTAAAATGTTTACAAATGACGATCAATATTGCGCATTTCTGAATGCACGATCGATTTATGATTCGATATTTTCATGTCGCTATGAAGCAACTATTTCAATTTTAAGACACGCATTATTTTATCAGTCTCTTAGAGAAAAATTAGTCTCCGTACTTGTGAATAGAATTTTGGTGTTTCATAGACAGTATCCATCTGACTTCGTTTTTTTCCCGTGTAGTTCGATAGATGATTGCTTGAACGTCGATTGGTATTAATTGAATGTATCGATATCATTCTAAGATAAAATGAAGCTTTTTTTTATGGGTGTCTCGATTGACGCAGTTGGTTTGACAATGCGTGAACTATGAGACAAAGATTATACTTTTCTGACTAATATTTGAAAATGATGTTCGTTGATTGAAGTAGACTAATGACATTTGTCAACCAATATTAGTGCTCGTTGTATTTTACATCGATTTGAGTCAAACACCCACCCACGGTTCAACTACGGGCAAATAATTGATTGTTTGCAAGATCGTTGCTTTTACTGGTTCATTCAATGCTATTCATTAACATGTTGGAAGTAGAGGTGTAAGCTAGAATCCCGCAGGGCAGGACAGAGTAAGGTTACAAAAAAATATTTAGGGTATAAGTAGGGTGTAGTTCACACAAATAAGAATTTTACAGAGTAGAACTTAATATATATTTCTGACATCTTTTTGATCAAAAACAGTGTTAGTCGTGATATCATAATCTATCTTCATTAGATAGAATAACGCCAAACGGAAAACGATGACATATTTTTTAGTACTATTTTTTACATAAGCTGGCGAGTTCAGTCACTTTTGCTTATTTGTCGAGTAAATGCGCATGTAAATGTAATAAAAAATGTCTTCGAAATCATCTCGACATGAACGTATTTTTAGTGCAAACGGGCGAATTTTGATAGAGAGAAGGCAACATTTAAGTGGTGATGTTGTAAATGACATTTTATTTTTAAGAAACTTTCGAAATATTTATTAATTTTGCATTTGATTCTCGTTGAAAATCAATAAAATATATTGAAACAAAGTGAAGAAAAACTTCACGCTGACTTTTACTTGAACCTGAAACTAACTATAAGGATATGATAGGGCGTAAAATGAAAAATCTCTGTGGTAGGGCAGGGCTATGGTGCAAAAAAAGTCTTAACCTGCAGGACTCTAATGTAAGCCGACGCCTCGGTGAGTGGCGGCGGCGGCGGCTCAAAATCTCTAGAAGCTATTTTAAAAAATTTTCATAGTTTTGAAAATTATGTAACATAAAAGGGAAAAATGATAATATAGAACGTTCTTATTAGGAGTTTGATCAGAAGAATCCTGAAGCGTGTTTCTGAGTATCGAAAATATTCAAAAATTTAGCATTCCTGCGCATATGACGGCGGCGGCTCGAAAGTTAAAAACGTTTTGGTCCATCGGCGGCGGCTTACACCGCTAGTTGGTGCCAAAATTCTGTTTGAGTCTTGTTTTTAACATAGTTCTATAATGAACTGTCCTAGCCATCTGATCTTTGTTTCGGTTAGAAAGACCACAGTGTCTAGTGCATTTTTACACCTTTCATCAAGGGTAAAATAAATGATTTAACAAAATCAGTTTGTATTTACACTTCTCATCGTTTCGATTACAATGTAGGAAATAAATTATATTCTGAGCGCATGGTTATCAGAAAGAAATCTCAGTGAATTCTTGATCGCACTATATTATTTGAGCATGAAGATAGGTTTTATTCAGCTGAAATATTATCTTCGTGTTGTTAATCGTATACTCGTCTATTCATTATTTGGTATGTCAGATCAATTATTTAGATACTCGAAGATAAAGGCTCAAAGAAATTTTTTCGGATAAGAATATTCTTGCCGAAGATGCACAAGTGGTTTTCGGTACTATTTTGGATGCAAGGCTCTTCTCTAAGTATAATGATTGAGCCACTTCCAATCGATATTTGAGCATCAGCTTTATGAAACGCGTGCACGTATACTTTCGCTGAAACGACTTCATTGTTTCATTTAATATCAAACAAAACAGCAATGCCAATATTTTTGTCTCATATACTTTATGAATTTGACGCTTTCTTTTAAGAGACCAATACATGTAGATGTAGTAGTACCGATCGAGTTCTTTATTTGCCATACTTTACTCTTACCAATTAATAATGCATGAATTGTTATTTAATGTTTGTTTCTCATAATTTCCTACGTAACGCTCGCTCTTTCTTATTGAATAACCATTTCCTATTACGAAACCTATACATCTGTCTCCATTCATCACTGGAATTATTTTTATTCTTGCATTTCTTTCTCTTCTGTTGGGTGAATAAAGTTGCCCTTTTTATGTAAACGGTGCAATGGTATGGTGTCAACGAGTAGAATAAAATGTAATATCATTCACACTACCATCTCTTCTATCAGAAATCGTCGCCGTAGAAAGATATAAGACCACAAAATACAGTTTTCAAATCAGCGGATTTAGATGGCTCAATGATGCGCTTTTTTCTATTACGATTTCTTTTGTTGTCCTGAGTTAGTGAAACGATCTTTGCAGTATATTTTACCAACTGCATATATTCTTGCAATTCTGTTTTGTAACAGTTAGTCCAACACTACTTTCTTATAGTTTGAAATTAAACTAAAATGCAATGTATTTTTAGAGATTTATTATAGTAGGAATGAAATTAATTGCGTTATCAGTATTTTTACAGCTATGACTCATCGATTTTCACGGTAGGTCGCATTGTTGTTTGTACATGGAAAAGCTTAGTTTCATTGATTTCCTTTTTCTTTATTCAGTTACCGATGCAACGCTTAATTGTTCGGTAGGTGCGAATGAACTTGACCTGATCAACTTGAATCCATTCTTCGTGCGCCTTAATCTATCACCAAATCGGACATCAGTTGAGTATGATACAGAATTACAACAAATTAAAAAAATGATTGTTGTCGATAATAAAAACCCATCAACCAATGTATTCTGTTTAAAAAATCTGCGATCGCTGCAATTGATCAATACTAATCTTTCGCTATTACCGGACATTAGTAATTTGAAAAATTTAGAATTGTTACAAATCGAATCCACTTACACATTAATTAAATATTATATACCATCTGAAATTGGAGAACTGGCACGTTTATCTGGATTAATATTGAGGAACATTTACAATCTTACTTATCTGCCAGGTGAAAGTGGACAATGGCAATCATTAACTTTAGCACAACTTCCAAGTCTACAAAATATTCCGCGTATCAGCATGGGTAATTTAAGTAAACTACGCGCATTGAGCTTAGAGGATATACCAAAATTAGCAGTGCTTCCAAGTCCAATGGAAAATTTTCAACAATTGAACACATTCATTTAAAAAAAATACAAGAATTATCAACATTTACAATATCATCGAATTCAGCAATGCGTTCAATTGAAATAAAAGATATGATTAAATTATCTTCGTTAGAAATTACGGGGAATGAAATTTTGGAAAAATTAACTCTTCAAAACCTTATTTCGTTAAGGAATTTATCATTGAACGCGAATCAATATCAACAATATACTGTCGAAACCTGAAAGCGATCAATTTCAAGAATTTTAATTCTCTAACTACTTTTAATTCGGCTCCAGATAATCGACTTGAATTCGTTTCATTCGGAAATGCACCATCATTAACAGTTGTAAATTTACGTTGCAACTCTCATCTCCAAACAATTATGTTCATTGATGCACCTAGAATGAAACACCTTGATCTGTTCCACTGTCAATTCACTTCGTTTCCTGTCAGTATTTTGACATTGACATCCCTAGAAATATTGAATATGCAATATAACAAACTTTCATCACTACCAGTCACGATATCAACAGACTTAGCCGATTTGAAAGTGCTCACTCTAGCGAGTAATCAGTTGAAAGGAAACATTATTCAACCTCCGCTTATTTATCTTCGTGAACTTGATATGAGCTCCAATTCTTTGACTATCGTGGACGATATTGGTGAATATAGACTATTAGAAAAACTTGTATTAGATAGTAATGCAATTAAATCAATCGCTGTGGAAATTTGAAACTTTCGACAGTACTACAATCATTATCCATCCGATCGAACCAATTGAGTTCTATTCCACATTCGTTGACTAATATGAGAGCACTGCAATATATTTATGCTACTCAAAACTACAACTACGATGGGCGATACTACCGTCAACGATTGTTTGAAGTAACTTCGATTCGACTATCAGTCTGATAGGAGAATCAAGTTGGTTCACCATTAAATGAACTACGTTTATTGAAAAATAAAAAGGTTATTTGCGAACCTCGCTTTGACGGAAATGTTGAAAAGTAGAGGAAAGTTCTTTGTAATCTTTTTTTTTTGATTTAGTAGGAAATACACGCTCATGTCCTCTGATATTTTTATCATTCGTAGAATTGCTGAAAATCAGGCTGTGGGTTGAGGTTTATATTCCAACACTTAATATTCTCCTGAAGTATCTCATAAAAAGCTAATTAAAAATAGATATCATTGTGCACATTAAAAAAATCGAGTATTCTTCAGCATTCTTCGTATTTGCCCACTGTGGTGAATATACAGATCATATATGTAACAGACAACGAGATCAGTAGTAAAACGAATACAACTATTTATTAATGGCCATTTATTCGAACGCATTTTATCGAATATCTGCCGATGTGCACATTTTTCTCATAAAATAATTGATGTAAAAAATATGATCATGTCATAAATGTGTTTTAAACAGAGTCGAATACGATAACAATGCGGAAACTATCTTAAGCAAGTAAACAATCACACACTCATGCACTATGTTGTCTCCAATGGAGATATTTGTAGTCACGGTGTAGTTCTTCGAAATAAAGTATTTTCAGAACAAGTCAATCTTCAAACGAAAGGACGCAATAGAATTGATTCAAATCGATTATTCCAACCGTCATAAGTAGCTTTTTCTGAACTGGCGAGTCAACGAGTCAGTTTTCAATATTGTTACCGTGCTCAAGGCGATAGACTATTTCATCCTCTAGGATTCGGAAAGTCCTGACAGACAAAGGAAAATATTTACGCGAAGGCCGTAGCCAATATTATCTATGTTGTTCTTGTTTCCAATGAAATGAATAAACTTTCAGAATATACTCGCCTAACAGTTTAGCCATTCTCGAGATCCGTGGAAGTCTAATTTTTTAAACTTTTCTCTACCTCAGTAAAGGACAAAATATTAGGAAAATAGATATTGTGATAAGAACATCGAGAAAGTTCTGCATTATGATCTTTGTTTTAAATTTCTTGGTCGAATTCGATTGCAAAACTGTTGCATTCACTATTTTAGATGAGTCAAATTTAACCTTTCCGTCAAAAAAAACTATAATAGGTATACTGAAGCGAATTAGATTTACATCCGATTGAATGTACGAAATCAAACATTGAAAAATATCTAACGTAAATATCGTCACATGAAACTTGGTTATACAAACATTAAATTCTAAACTATCGGTAAAACAAAAATCTTTTTTTGCCTTAATGAGAAGCTTAAAGTGCATGAGCTTCTTCGCTAATTTTGTTTTGGTAGTCGCTTTTCAATAAAAACTCTAAGTGCAATATGTATTCATGGTTGCTGCTGATATAACCTTCTGCGCTCACACTTTTATCTTCTCTAAATTTTTCGAACAAGGGGTCAGGAGCGAAAACAAAAGGGATTTACATTATGATATTTTCAAGCACTGAATTTCCTACTGCATAATCGATCCATTTCAATACGACGAAACATGCTCGAATGATTGTATAGTAGCGATAATATCTTTTTGTTTTCATGTACTTTTAGCATGCAAGAACCGCCTACTTTATTTATGATTATTCTTCATAGCTATGCTTTTCTTAATATTGTAAAACTATTTCAATTTTAACCGTTCTTTCTTCTCCGAAGAAAATGTGTTTATCACATTCCGATCCTGTTTTTCCTCTTTTTCTTTTCTGAAATATTTCCAATCAATATATATATATATATATATTATAGTAGTAGGGCTCGTTGTTTTCCATACTTTCCCGTAAACTCAATCGCCAATCAAGTACTAGTAAAGTTCATGTAGGAAGAAAAAAAGAAACTTTTCATTCGCTCGCTACTGTGGATCGATTTAGAAATTTAGTAGAAAAATCATCTAGGCGAATAATTACGATGGATAACATGTAAAGGGGTTTATGTTCTCTTTCTTTCTCTCTCGTTTTTCTCTTTTTCAGTCATTGTATAAATAAGAATGTTTCTTTTCATTTTACATTAGTAAATTGGTCGATTTGTTTTGCAACAGCAGCGACTGTTCGTTACGAATCGTATTTATTAAAACATCACGTTACTTTCAAGGAAATCTTCCCACACTTCAATCAAGAAAAAGTAGTTCATTTCGAATACCACAATGGAGAAAAAAAATGAAACACAACAACCTGGTACTCAATCGGGTTTCATCTCATCAAACCAACCCTCGGAAGATTTGGTTCGATTGTATGTTTTTTTATTTTAAAAGTTTTCCTATTGAAAATATTTTCCTTTTCTTTAGTAATTATCATTTAGATAATGAAGGTTTAATCAATCGTCAAATCAATTTGGAATTACATGCTAGTTATGTTTACATGGCTATGGCACATTATTTTAATCGTCCTAATGTTGCTTTAAAGGGTTTGAATCAAAGAAAAAGTGTTTGTTTAAATTGAACTTTTATCATTCATATAGGACATTATGATTTTTTTCAAAAAATGTCAAAAGAGGAACAAGAACATGCCAATAAATTTATGGAATATCAAAATAAACGTGGTGGTACTATCGTACTTTTGGATCTAAAGGTTAGACTTTTTCGTAACTAAAACAAAAAAATCTTTCTTTTCAAATTTAGAAACCGCAACAACAAAGTTGGCGTTCTCCTCTCGAAGCTCATGAAATGGCGTTACAATTGGAAAAGGATGTTTATCAAGCATTACTTGAAATTCATACTTCTGCTACCGAGCATCAGTATGAGATTCGATTCATTTTTGTATTTATAATTATATCATGTTCTGTTCTAGTGATCCACATCTTACAAATTTTCTTGAAGATGAATTTCTTAATGAACAGGTAACTGTTTGATTGGTGTCGAAATCTTTTTCAATTTTTACTTTTTTCAGGTTAAATCACTCGATGAATTCGCTCGTTACATTACCAACTTGCGTCGTGCTGGCCCTGGTCTTGGCGAATATATTTTTGACAAAGAAGAACTTCAAGAATAAATATGTCATCTCAAAGCAATACAAGAATATTTTTTTCTGCATAAAAACTCATTTTTCATTGATCCATTAAATCTATTCATATATTAATAAAAATAAAAAACATCATTTCAACACCCGTACAAAAGTATCATTTTTTTGTCTAACACAGAAAAATATAGAAATGAATTATGTTGCTCTTTATCAAAAATCTTAAAGAATATATTGCTTCTTTAAACTGCGTTTTGAATACACTTATATCGAAGCAAACCAATAATCAGTACTGAATTTGTCTTACACTATTGATAAGCTCATAAATAACATTGTTAAAAACTCTTGTAGCAGTCTGTGGAAGTATTCCACAAAAGAATCGATGTATATTATTTTTAAGGGTGACATCTACTGCCATCTATTGGACGGATTGTTCATTATCGCAGCCTCTCGGCCAATAATCTGCAAGTGTAAACAAAGATTTTCGTATATAGTACATTTCATCATCTGACGTACTACCCTAGTAAAATAAGGAAACCATGTATTCTAGTCCGGTGCAACAACAAGGATCACCCATGCAACGTCCTCCTACCATGATGAATCCTATTCCTCAACCTAATGCCACAGCTGGTGTGCCACCTATGCGTCCTATGGTAACATCATCGTCAATGCAAGGATCTATGATGGTTCGACCAGCTGTTGGTAGTCCCTATGCAATGAATAATCGTACATTAGTTTATGATAAAAATAAACGTCCATCTGATCTTCGTCCGCAACAAATGATGCAACCAGGACAACAACCACCGATGGCCTATGGAAATATGATGGGTTCAACTCAGTCTATGATGCCAAATGCTGTTACAATGGGTGGTACTGGTTCGATCAGACAACAGTAAAAAGTTTCTCTATCGTTTATTATGCTTACATGAATTTTTATTCAAGGAAAAAACGAAAACGTTTAACAGAAAAGGTGATTCACAAACAAATACGTTCTTTGGTGCCAGAATCTCAAGCATACATTGAATTGTTACGTCTCGAACAAAAACTAGACAATGTTCTACTGAAAAAACGACTTGATTTACAAGAAGTACTCAAACGACCACAAAAAGTATTTGAGAAAAAAGCAAATATTCACATCGATTAAACTCTCATTTTTTTTTATTATTTAAGGCTAAAAAGAAATTACGAATATTTATAAGTCATCAATATCCAGTTCGTATGGATACCGATCCAATGAGTATGGATGATGATCAAGCACAATATTGGGAAATGCGTGTTGAAGGTCGTTTACTTGATGATGTGAGTTAGACTAATGCAAAGAAAAAACAACAATCTTATTTACTATTCATGTTTTAGCCTAACGCAACCAAAGTTGATCAAGGAAAATCAAAACGTAAATTTTCGTCTTTTTTTCGTAGTCTTGTTATTGAATTAGACAAAGATTTATATGGGCCTGACAATCATCTTGTTGAGGTTTGTGAGATATTTTCAAAAGTAATCATTGTAAATGAAGGAAAATTTTCTAGTGGCATCGAACAAATGCTACGGCTGAAACTGATGGTTTTCAAGTGCGTCGTTTAGGTGATCAAAATGTTAAATGCACAATTTTAATGATTCTTGATCATTCAGTAAGATTAATTCCCATTGATATTCGTTTGATGGTTAACTTTTTCATTTAGCCACCGCAATATCGTCTCGATGCTCGTCTTGCTCGTTTACTTTCAATAAACAATGGTACACGCCAAACAATTATTCAGGCTCTTTGGCAATATATTAAAACACATAAACTGCAAGATCCTGAAGAACGAGAATTTATTCATTGTGATGCACAATTACAATCAGTAGGTGGCTTTGTTTTTTCTTATTGAGTAATCAAATCTTAGCAGATTTTCGACGCTTCAGAAGTGTCTCAATGCCTTAAGAGATAGAATTACATTTCTATTATCGAAAATTCAGCTACTTGCAATGGAGGTGTTTGTATTGATAAGTCATCTTCGGGTCAAATGAAAGCTCTCACCGCCACACTAACAAGGTTAAAATATTAGCTCATCTTGGCTTGTCTAGAGGGAGATATTCGATTTTTTCAGTGAATCTTCTCTACAGGACCGGTTTTCCCAGCAATATCATATTTTCGAATTTGAGCCTGAAACTTTGTATGCATGAAGGTCTCAATGAGACTAGCGTATAGAAAACAAATCAGAAGCTTTGGACAAACTCTCTTCGAGATATGAATCTCTCAAAATATTGACGATTTTCTATAGAAGCTGTATGCTTGAGACATTTATATCTCGAAGAGAGTTTGTGCAAAACTTCTGATTTGATTTCTATACGCTAGTTTCATTGAGACCTTCATGCATACAAAGTTTCAGGTTCAAATTCGAAAATATGATATTGCTGGGAAAACCGGTCCTGTAGAGAAGATTCACTGAAAAATCGAATATCTCCCTCTAGACAAGCCAAGATGAGCTAATATTTTAACCTTGTTAGTGTGGCGGTGAGAGCTTTCTTTTGATGTAAAAACATCTAGTCTTTTCAACTTACAATACAAACACTTCCGTTGTTGGAGAAAAACCGCAGTGTCAACGATCAATCATTTCTATACTCTTGTTATTGGCAAAACAACCCTTTATCTAATCTATGTGTCAGAGCGTGTAACGCCTCAATGATACCTAACAGATTTTTAATGTCATAATACTTTGTTTTTAATTAAATAGATATTCGAATGTACACGTATTCGTTTTCCTGATTTACCAGGCAAACTTAATAAACTTATACTTCCATCGGAACCTATTATTATTAATCATACAATTTGGTAACAATTGCTTTTTTTTCATCGAAAGTTATATACATATGCTTTTTTGTTTACTAGCCTCGGCGCTGATCAAAAGAAACATGCTTGTTACGATATTGATGTTGAAGTTGACGATCAAGTTCGAGATTCTATGCGAACATTTCTTACACCACAGAATACTCATGAATTAGAAGAACTAGATCGAAAAGTATTTGCTTTCTATAAAAAAAAAAGAAAATTTACTTATTTTTAACAATTTTCAGGTTCTTCAACATATCGATAGTATAAATCAATTGAAACAAAGCAGAGAATTTTATCTTTCATTTGCTGATGATCCTCAAGGTTTCATCTGTAAGTGGTTAGCATCACAATCTCGTGATGTTAAAATGTTAACTGATTCACCGATTGGTAACACTGAAGAAGAACGACGAGCTGATTACTACATGGAACAATGGTCATATGAAGCTGTTAGTCGATATTTCTATAATAAAGTTCAACAGAAACGTGTTGAATTAGAACAAGCACTTGGTATTCGTAATTCGTAAATTTTAAACGAAATAAAATAAAATAAAATTCTTTTGTTTATATGTACATGTGTAGTTAAGCGAAATCTTGTAAAAAAATGAATAAAATTTTTATTATAGATGGAATTGTCTTATCATCAACCCTATTCCCATCAAACTCGTTTTAAAGTGATTCATTCAACCACGACATTAATTAAGCTACCAAAAACAATACCTAATATATCAATAGTCAATCGGCCTACATCACAATTTAAACTGATACGTCATGCAGCTAAACAAGAGAAAATAATCAATCCTCAAAAGCCAACAATTATACGAGCAAAAAGTATTGATAAACCATCGGCAATAATTGCGAAAAGTATTGGAAATAAATACAAATGGATGAGAACTAGTTTAAAATACAGAGATAGTAACAGGTTAGGATATATTTTACAAAAACAAAACAGAATAAATTTATTTTAATTCATGTAAATCTAGTTTTAAACTTGATCATCGAAAAGTCTTATCTCCTAGTTTGCGAAATGGACGCGTGTCAAAACGTAAACCTCGTGCATCATTATCGAAATGTCTTGTACGTATTCGTGGTGTTAAGTTTCATACTAATCCAAATGGCAAATGTCTTCAACGTTTAAGTAATAGTTTCATCTTCGTGGACCTTTTTTTTCTTAATTGTTTATTTTTTAGCTTCAGATTCTGATACTAGCAAAATTTTATCCTCATCGATCCCGATAAAAAAAGTTGAACGTCCAACCATAGCGAGAGCGAAGTGTGTTCAGTTTATTTCGAAATCTTAATTCAATCATATTTGTTTAATATACTATAGTATTCTCTTACAACGGAGTATTCAAATCAGTAATGGAAATTATCGTTTAAGAAACGTAAAGAATAAATTACTGACGTTAACTAAGAAGAAAAATTGCATTTATTTTAATCGATTTGGAAAATGTCATCGTGGTGATAAATGTCCATTTATACATGATCGCACTCGAATAGCTGTTTGCACACAGTATGTTGATGAAATATTCAAGGAAAATTATTTGATTTTTTTTCTCGTATAGATTTTTAAATGGACGTTGTAAAAATTCTTCTTGTCTTTATTCTCATGAATTAACACCGGGTAAAGTTCCAACATGTTCCTATTTTATAAAAGGTGCTTGTGGTCAAGATAATTGTCCCTATGCGCATTCGTACGTTGGACATGATGCTCAAATATGTGAAGATTTTGTTCAAGGATTTTGTGCAAAAGCAACAGAGGTGTGTATAAGGAAAAGAATTTCCTTTTGTTTCTTTTTTCGTTTCTCTATATTTAAATTTAAAAAACCTAACTCAGTGTGCGAAACAACATGTTCTACTATGTCCTCATTTTGAATCAACGGGCCGGTGTCCTCGTGGAAAACATTGTCATTTAACTCATCGACGTAAACGAAACGAAAATAATATTTTGAAAATCAAGTCTAAGTGGGATCTTTTTCTTCGCTTATTTTTTACATAAAAATTTTATTTTCTGTTTTTATAAATATTAGACCGGTTGAAGAATCATTTCTACTTTCAAATGTGATGCCAGCTTATATACCACTAAATCGAGGTGCTTGAAAAATGGAACAGAAAGATGTATAATTCAATATTTGTTTTAATTTGTTTAGAAATTGAAAAGAAATCACCACACATTGAGTTAAAATTAAAACCTAGCTTTTTATCTTAGCATTCATACAAGTAAGTACTTATGTTTATTTTTCATTTCAATGGTATACACAATAAACGAACAATATCAAGAAAACAATATTTGTCTTTCGGTTTTTCATTTACGGTGGATTTTCTCGAAGGAGTTCTTATTTTATTATAGATATTAGCTACATTCTTGTTGTGATTCATTTCCTTTTTGTTTGTTTTTCTGTTTGTTTTCTTTTGTTTATTTAAATAAATAAATCATTATGGTTTTACTTCAGCTATATCAACTTTTCTTAATATTGATTCATACCATTATGTTACTATGTCTATCGATGAATTACTTCGTTCATTTAGCATAGCTTTCGTATAGGTTTAAAGAGAAAGTCAATCGAAAGTAGATACTAAGATTTTTAATGAATTATAATTTTCAAATACATAATACTCATCAATAAATTAGAAAGATTTATTTTCAGCAACAATAGCTGAACTTAGCAAACAATTTTTGTTTGTTAGTATAATCTAAAAGTTTTGCATTAATCATCTTTTAAACTATTTTTTTTTTATTTCAGTAATAACTATTCGCTGATATGTATGCTAAAAGTCGTTCGTCAATTTCGTGCTGAGAAGACAAATATATTTTTCAATGATCAATATCATACAAATCAAATGTTTTTGTACAGAGAATTATTTAACATCCCTAATTAAGTAAATAACCTTGATATAGAATAAGTTATAACCTCAGTTTGAAGTATTAATTTGGTAGATGTTTCACCGATTTAGAAAAGAAAATTTTTCGCTTCCTAAAACGATTTGATAATAAGATGTTTTATATTAAAAAATCGAATAATTTCATAGTCCTGTTAAATTTAGTTTTTAACTAGAGGCATCTAAGATTATCAAAAAGAATGAAACAACATGTTATAGAAAATAAATTATTTCCAGTGCAGCAGTGTCAGCAGCTATTTTCCTTTTTCTTATGGAGTAAATGTTTGTAACTAGTTCACAAAAAATTACACTTTATAAGTACTGCTTCATTTTTTTTGAAAATATCAATTTCTTTTTATCAGAGAACTTTGTGATTTATATATCAAAATATTCATGAGCTATGCATCTTTTATTCTATTTTCAACAGTAGTCACTTCTAGCCATATCAATACTTCAATTAATAGTATCGCAACAACTACCTCAACTTTCAATCATTATCAGACAAATCTAAATTAATAATTAATGTTAAATATGACACTTTATTTAGCGTGCTAATCTTTATTGAAATGAAACAACAGTATTCGTGCATAGTACTAATTTTAGTGCTCTTTACTCGGTACAAAAGTTGCTAGAAAATTAAGTAGTATTTAAAGTGTATTGGATGATCTCTTGTCTATCCATCAATTTTACCTTGCCGATTAAGCACTAGACCATGTTTACTTAGGAACATTAAGTACCAGAAGTTCAACTAAACTTTGAGCTAATGCTAGTATGTACTACACTGATGAATCCATGTAGGATTGAATTAAACTTACAGTGATAATTAAAAAATATGTTGTCTAACATTCACCATAGCAAAAATGTTACCATAAAGAATTAGAAATGATTTATTGGCCTTAATATTTGTGCTGTGATGGCCGAGTGGTTAAGGCGTCTGACTTGAATCATCAAAAATTGAATGTCAAGTTATCAGATGGGTTCTCCCGCGTAGGTTCGAATCCTGCTCGCAGCGTTAACTTTTTGGCAAACTTTAACGTTCATCAGTATATTAGAATGAAATAAATTACATGAATAACTATACGTTTACTATCGTGAGCATGTCAGCTGCGATGGCCGAGTGGTTAAGGCGTCTGACTAGAACCACGAAAATTGAGTTTACTAGCTATCAGATGGGTTCTCCCGCGTAGGTTCGAATCCTACTCGCAGCGCTTAGTTTTTTTTTAGTTTTTTATTTTGATACTTAGTCATATGAATGTAACAAAAAAAACCTTGAATAGTCACATAATTTTAAATTATACGAATACATGTGCTGAAATCAATGTAAAAAAGAGAGCAGCACAATCAACGTATTTACTTCAAATTTTTTTTCATGAGTTCCAAACGATTTATATTTTCAAAAATACAAAGACTATATAAAAGTTTCTTGAGAGATGCTTTCACGATCTTCAAAATCTTTTTTCAGAATTCAATAAAATAATATCTTCTAAGTTTTTTTCTTTTTTTTTCTATTTACATATATAGCAGCAGATACAACAAAAATATTTAACTGCGTGAAATGTATTAGAAGATGTACTGAGGTTTTACATGGAAATTATCAGATCTTGCACTCATATTGTTTAGTACAGGTTGTTAATAAATGTTTCTGATGTTATATTAGTGTTTTTTATACGAATAGGCGACTGTGTAATTTTATTTCCCATTAATTGATAAATTATATTATAAAAAGTATCGCAGGATAACCATAGAGAAAGGCGAAGGTCTTCTATCACTTTTAGTTATTATCTATGCAATGTTTTGTAATTTGATGATCATAAAGCCAGTTTCTTAAAATATGAATGGCTTTCTTCATACCGTTGACACCAACTGTTTCAATTCGGAGAATTTCTTTTTGCTAACACCACAAAATAAGAATGAAATTCGCGTTTGCATTATTAAACAACATAAATGAAATGATCTTATGGTAAAAAATAAAAATATGGAAGTCAAGACTTTGCAATCCGCTTCAGATATATGATTCTTTATCAGATGATTTTACGGAATACCCAAAGCTCTTTTAGGCTCATCATTTTATCTGTAGTAGAAATTTTCCAATTTTTTCTTTTGATTTGAATACGAGTAAGAATTCGGCGTATATATAATTCTTTTAGTATAGATTTAACGCATATTATGCATATCCATAAACAAATCATAAATACATTAATTTTACTGAATATTTTATAAGTATTATAATGAATCAGCACCATTTCCCTTCAAATAAATCGTGCATTATGTCAACTGGTAAAGATGGTAGAGGATGAATGGGAAAGTCAGTGTTGTTTACATAAATCCAAGCTAAAGCCAATACGCTGCTTTGAAATTTCTTCTACGCGTTTCTAATACTATATCATCGAATAAAGGATCATTCAAACACATGACATTCTCATGTTAGTTTAATGATGAGAATGTCTCGTTGTCGTGTTAGTGATCACAGTATATATTCTTGTCGAATGATTTTGAAATGAGTTGTCGGTTGAAGTTGATAGATGTATGGTAATTGCAGCTTCTCGGGGCGATCATTCCGACCGTCTGAATCAGCGTTTTAAAAGACGTGAAACGGCTATCACAACGGTATAATCCTGCACTATTGTTCAAATTATTTTGTCGCAGTTCGTCTAACTCATAGAAATGGAGATTTGCTTCAGTAATAAATATCAGCTTGTGGTATTTGATTATGATGTTATATTTCCCTCATTATAATTAATGAGATGTGAAGCATGGTATTTATGTAATTTGGGACGAGTTTGTTTGGACTTCGTCTGGTAACGTTGTATAGATGAGCTCACATAGAACAATGAGTTTAATTTAGTTCGTATATCTTCAAGTTAAAAATAAAATACTGAACTAGTAAAATGTATTTCCAACAAAATTTAGTAAAAACTACACGTCCAAGGATATAGAAGAATTTAAATAAGTCACTGAATAGTTTATCGCACAGACAATTAGTTATAGACTATATTTGCCACAAAAATAGTTAGACACATGTTATGATCTGTATATGCACACACAGATCATTAGCACATCTACCTCGATAGCGCTATCTTTCCTTTTCCTATTGTCCTCCACACATTATTATGTATTGTTTATCTCATTGGAGGTAATTGAATACGAGTATATCTGACCCTGATATGGGTTCAGTGCTGGTATTTGTAACGATAAATAAGACTCTGTTGAGTTTATATCGTATTGACAAACTGGATAGAGGTGGAGTAGCTTACAGCCACTCACGGCAATGATGTTTATTCGTTTATTCACATATCCAGAGTGTAACAACTTCATACATAACACACGTATATATAGGAGAGAGAGATAGAAGAGAGACAGGAGAGAGATATATTATAATAATGGAAAGAGAATAGAAGGAAGAGGAAGGAGAATCATCGAAGCGTGCCATCAATATCGGCACAGTATTATTATTGTTAAAGTGTATGTTATCGAACCTGCTAATAAAAAAGTGAACGTACACCTTTAACAGCACATGACAATGATCTAATCATTTATTTCGTCGTGTTTCATATTTGAATATATGACAGATACATAAATATATTTTCATCTTATAGACATACAATTTAGTTAGTTATATGAGATTTATTTTTTCACTGAAGCAGAAGGTATGCATCGTGTGAAATTGCCGATGTGATGGAAACAGACGGTTTTACCGACCCGGTTATCGAATTCCAAAACTGCGGCAAGCCACCGTAAATCGCTAGCTTTTTCCTCGATAAACCGCAGCTCTAAACGGCACTGTTGGAATTAGGGGTGTTACTTTATATTTACTTTACTTTTTAAAGATAAATAAAACCTTTATATTTAAAAAATAAAGATAACTAAAATATTTATATTTATAAAGTAAAGATAACGATAATCTTTATCTTTATAAAATAAAGAAAAAGAAAAATATTTTCCCTTAAAAACCCAAAATTTGGTCTTCTCCGGATAACTGGAAGAAAATTAAGAAGTTCAAGGCTAAAAAAATTTCGAACACTAGATTTTTTTCCATAAATGATTTATGCCTCACCATCATTTGCTAGTATTATTTCATACTGCAATGTCAGTGATGATAAGCAAGAACTGCAATCAATGTTTTCTGTTGTTATACAAATTATTTATCTATTTACCAGTGACTGCAGAAAATCTTTCTTTTTTCTTTCTTTTAACTTTCTTTTTACAAATAAAGCTTTCATTTATCTTTATATTATAAATATAATTTTTGAATTTACCTAATTTATTTAACTTTAAAATATACGAACAAAAAAATTATATTCAGACCGATATTAAAATATTAGTTTTTAAACGACGAAAAAAAATATGCATATTTATGTGAAAAACCAATTAAATTCTAAAATAAACCTCTCGCTCTTTTCTTACGCGAGTAACAAAATAAGGGAAAGACGAGTCCAGAGAAAAAAAGGTGCATTTCCACATAATTTCCTAGTAAAAAGAGCGAAGATTTAATGCACTATTCTTATTTATAATCACGATCGATGACATGACACAAATCTTGTATCAGATTTTCACCCTCAATATTATTTTGCTGGTGTATCGGAATTTCACTGTGAAAGACATTTTGTCATTTATTTATTTATGAAGAACTACTCGAGTGTAAGATAGCCAAATTTAGTATTCAGATGGATGTGAATACGAGTAAATTGGTAGTACCTACATGTGTCTTGATTTTCTAGAAGAAAATAGTCATAATAGCTTCTGAATAAAGTCACTGATGTATTGCAAATGTGTACAACAATAATCTGTTTTATTGTTACGTGTAAAAGAAACCATCAGTTTATCGTTGATACAAACATATATTTATTTCATATATAGAATCTTTTATTGCATAATAATAGACTGATACATATAAATGTTATATCTTAGTATGAACAAAAACATTCTTCACTGATATTATTTATAGATGAATTTCGAGTAAAAGTTTGTAATAATATGGACATATGTATATGACATAGATTTGAAACAATTGCCGAGCACCAATACATATTTAGAATGTAATAAAAATAGTATTTATCTGTTACATTATTCTATGTTCAAATACTCATCAACCAAATTCGTCAGACGAGCTGTAGCTAAAGAAGGATTTCGTTTTTTCGGCGCTTCATTTCTTTTTGTTATGCTTTTTCTAGTTGTCGCTGTTCTTGCTGTTGTAGCTGAATTTCTTGCTGGTGAAACTATTCTTCTTGGTGAACTAGTTCGAGTAGATACTTTATTCTCTACAGGAAGTGGCGTAGGTGTTTTATCATCTACTGGAGGTGGCGTAGGTAATTCTCTTTCTGTTGGATCAAGTGTAAATGGTTCATCGCAAAGAACATCGAGTTCAAATTTTCCAAATGAATTTGGTTCAAAACAAGCAGGTATTATAAAGTATTCTTCTCCTGAATTCAAATGAATTAATCTTGAAACTGATCTAGCACGTATAAATGTTGGTTCTTCATCCTTTGTATTTGTAGTCGAAATAATATAAATACCAATAGGATGGTGTTGTGCAAGCGGAATCACTTTTTCAAATAATTGACGAAGAATGAATCGAACAGTAGATGCATTCGAAAGTGTAAGAAGATATGCTGGATTTTTGTAAAATTTTAATGCTACTGATTTATTTCGTCGTCCACCTGAATTTTCACGATGCCATTCTCCATGAATAGTCTGAACGGTTTGTTGAAATAGATCAGTCCACGTTCGTAATTGTAATGTGGGAAATTGTGGTGCAGAGAAAACTTGTAGCCAAAATGAAGCATTGATATTGGGATAGTAGGTCGATAGAACAGCAGCATATTGCTTTCCTTGTTTAGCTTGAAAATCAATAGTCATAGTTACTTCTCTTTTGTTCCAAAATTTCGATTGACAAATGACTTCATAATTATCATGAACAGGTATAGTATGTGATTTAAGTTCAACTATCGTAATACCTAATTGTTCATAGTTCAGTTTAACATTCGTTTCCGTTCGTTCATGTCGCTGATCGACAGTGTGACCAAGTACAAGTACAGTTTTTTTTGAATGCGAAAGAGGAAAGATAAAAAATGGATTTCGATAAAAGGTTGAAAAATTCGAACAGCCTCCGCTAGTCATTGGTGACCAATTACCAGTAAGGAATTGTCGAGATTCAACATTTATATGACATATTTGAATACGATTACAGGATCGTTTCAGTTCATTCCAAGACATTAGTTGAGTTCCGGATGTTGTCGACCACAATGGATGACTCTTCGATGCCAAACTAAAAAATGCCTAGAAAAACAGTAGAATGATAATGTAAGAAGAACATTTCTTTTATTTTAATTATTTCTTACATTTCGTGCACGGCTATTTTCTTTGAGTACATGATTAATGCCATGCGGATTATGTATGAGAACGTATTTTTCTCGTGTCTGTTGATAAACAAAAGTAGCTAAAATTGAATACGCATGATTAACTACGAGCCCACTAGAAAGTTTAGCTGTTGTTGTTGCTGCTGCTGCTGCTGCACTATTTGTCACAACACTGCCACAAGTGATCAATGCATTTTTTTCAGCTAGTCCTTTTTCAATTTTCTCCCATAAATCACGATCATTCGGATCGAATTCTTCGACAGGCTTTCCTATTAAATCATACAATGCTTCTGATGTATTTCCACCGATTAAATTATCATATCGGCCCCCATAAAATTCAGAATAGGCTTGTTCGATAATATAAGGCCATTGAACATCGGGAACAGTGGAACGACAATATTGAATTTCATCTTTCAGTAATTCTATTGCTACTGGTATTTCAATACGTTGACCTTGTCGATAGAAGAAGCATGCGAGTGGTGAAACAGAAATAATCGATTTCAGTAGTTGAGGTTGACAAGAAGCTAACGCTTGCAGTGAAGCAATAAGAAAGCAATTTCCCAATCCACCTTGAACAATATCACCATGATATGGCTCTCGGTCTAACGACCACACGTTAGTAGACATTTGAAGAAAATAAAACAAGAATAAAAAAGGTGGGCAGGCAAAACTTGATTATATATATATATAGTAATGTTTCAATTCGTTCTTATCAAACAATTTGTATCCCGCTGACAATTGTTGTTATGACTATTATCAGCGCACGCAATTCTTGGAAATAGAGCTGTTGAAATTTCAGTTAATGTCAAAACACCTTTGACGTAATTCCATGTACGAACAGCTTGTATAAAAATTACATGACGACACAAATCGAATGGCCTAATAGTGACAATTCATGACGACTTCGACTACCGCTTAGTGATCTTTGATCTGTTGTTATGGAAGAAAAACATTGTAATCCAGAGTTTCTATGTGTACGTCATAAAGATTAAGTTTATACTTACGCAACTTATGCAATAAATTTGCAACAAAAAAGACAAACTATTCTTGATTTATAATAAACAAATTCGATCATTCCACATGTTTCTTTCTTGATTTTGTCGGACTGAGTAGCAAGAACGAATAACGTTGACGAGTGTAATTTGTCTGCATTGAATTCATAGTTGATTGTTTCCATTTTTTTATTTCAAATGTTGCCTGCTTCGTTCTTTTCTTTATGCGCCATGAAAAGATGAATAATTCATCACTATGGAAATCGTACAAAGATGATTCACCAGAATATGCTGCAGGTGATAGATTGAATCAACTCGATTGACTCTAATGCACAACGTGGTCAGGCGAGAGAAAATCGAACGGACCAGTATATGATTCAAGAGGTAAAATACATGAATGCTAACCCGAAGATGACTTTTTACACAGATACTTCGATTTATTTTCGAGAAAGATTATTAAATTAAACGAGAAAAATTCCGCAGTGGAAATTATGAAAAAATGCGATCTCAAAATCATATGAATGCTACAAACCAAAAAAGAAACATTTTGCAATCGAATACTCCACATTTCATGCAACAAATTAATTTCGATGATATCAATATTAAACGTACGCCATCAGTATTACTTCTATCTTGTACGGTTAACCTAAAAAATATCCTCTCGCGATAAGAATGATCCATCCTGTCATTATGACACGGAATCATTGTTGACCTTAGAATAGCGAAAATTTAAATATCTACGAATGATACTCGTTTTCCCCTACGTATGCACTTAATTTTATTTGCACAAAGATTAAAGAAAAACTAATTTTTTTAAATAGAATATTTTATCAGCACCTTTCACATTATTTTGTATATAGAAAAAAACGAAATCAATAACATCAGACATTCATTTGCAAATATTGACTGAATAATGAAAACCAGTTTCGTCACTGTGTTTCTTTTTACTGCGGTAATCTTCGAAATAAATGCAGATCCTTTCGTATTTTTTCCTCAACATCTGTTACCTCCGATTGGTACAACATTCAATTTCACTTTCGATGGTTCATTGAGCACAATACATGTCTCGGGAGTCTATAGTATACAAGCAGTCACAGGTCCAGATATGAAAACCATTATTGGCTATCGCAATTGGCAATCGTATTCAGGTGGATATAGTGCGATATTCTATGGAGTCTCCTATTTGAATGGGACCTATCTCCAAGCACTTGTAGATCCCAATACACAAGAATGTATTAATGTTTTTTCTGAAATAATGGATTGTACTAATTGGCTAAATACTGGAATTGTTAATTGGGATAGTCGATGTTCATTCGTTCGCGTTGATTCGCCGATTTCTGGCGCTATGACTCTGACGATAGTTGTATCGACATCTGATTTAATGCGTCCTGCGAACTTCAGCGGAACAACAACGATGACTGGTTCACCTGATAAAGTAACAATAGCGTATCAATTTTTATCAAAAACTGAAGAGAAAAATTTTCCATACATAAAATGTTACTTTTAAAAAAATAAAACGTCGATAATTGACCATCTTATATCCACGACATTCTTTTGCTGTGTTCATCCTAATCTCTCTTTTTCTTAAGCCGATTAATTCTTCGTTAATTGTGATACATTTTTCTCATTCACAAAGCAAAGGAGAAAAAGATGAATAGGATGAAAGCTTTTGTATCTCTCACTATTCGATTAAACATTGATGCCTCGACGTTGTCATGGATGTTTCCCAATATGTTGCATATCAAGTAAAAGACGTCGATCGTTTTCAATAAATGAAAAGCCACACAAGAAAAAAGTCAATAAAGTAAATCCACAACAGGCTGAAAATGTTCAAATCATACCGTCAGCGAAAATTATTCAGCGACAAGATAAAAAACCGTATGTAACACATAAAAACGAAATTTTGAGAACGATTTGATTGACCAATCATTTTCTATATAGAGAAACAATTAAAAAGAAACCAGTTATTGAAGAAATTCAACCTGAAACACATGTACCCGATCAACAAACAAATGCACCGTCCAACAAAGATAATAAATCATCGTGTTCAGAAACATCTCTTTCTAAATTTTTTCACAAATCTAAGCAACTCAAAGTATCAGCATTAGCATTGGCTATCAACGATGTTTCAGATGATAACGATGATAAAACGGCTAATAATACAATATCAAGTTGGTCGTCATTGACATACAGTGGTCCAACGCATCGACCCAATGTTCAAAGTTATGATTTTGTTCAAAAGAATGATTTTGAAACGATAAAAATATCCAATGATATTAACTATACAGAGAGAAGTAAATTAGTTTTAGACAATGTAAAAAAACTTCTTAAAGATCAGCAACAACTTTACAAAAAAGAATTGATCAAATGAAGTTGTTTAGTTTTAGTTGTATATTATTAATAGTGAAATGAAATATAATGTTTTCTAATTATTAAACAGTTCTTTATTTTAATTAAAAATAAATCTACTCCGTTCTTCATAGAAACTACAAGACAATAGTTTTTTTCTACTCATTTAGACCGTTGGGAATAAATCAAAACTATTTTGATTCGTTATAATTTCTCTTTTTTTTGCGATGAACTCAGGTTCAATCTAAAAAGCAATTATGGCATAAAAACGAAAAGAACTTATTTCTATTAAGAACTATTCTTGGACATTTTCTCTAATCAATAGTGTCAAATTGTTTTATTTAAAAAGAAAACTTCTGCGTATAAAAAAAAGTGGTTCTCACTTTAATAAAAAGCTTGAATCGTTAGACTACGATATCTTGTCGTTTAGTAAAGCTTATAAAGAGTTGTTTTGGCAAATAAAACGATGGCTATACAGATAATCATGATTATGAACAATAAACGCATTAAAAATACACAATAATGTTCAAAAAATCCATCATTTTCAGTTTCAACGATTTTATGGTACCGATAGACAGGGGGGTCATAATGAGCTGATTTAAGATTAGAAGAAACTTGAGATTCCTTCGATTGTTTCATCGAATTGTTCCCATGAGAAGAACTTGTCAATGAAGGATTTAAAGTTCGCTTGAAATCCAAAAATTTGTCACAAATTTCGCGTAAAGTAGCTTCTGTCCAAGGTTTCTCCATTTTGAGAAGTTCCTTGGGTTCGGAGTTTTCACAATGACATTTTCCCATAAATCTGTAGCCAGAATTATTAGATGATTTGGTGATGTAGATTTTGAGTTCTTGATAGCATCCTCTACATTGACAAATATTTAATTGTTGAAACTCTGAAGGATCCATTCTCAAATGGACTCGAGCAATATGATCGTCAAGGTCACTAATAAAATTACCAGAGAGGTCCTTAAAACAACACGTACGATCTGATAGCTTGATTGTCGAACCATCAAGACCTTTTTTTTCCATAGCTGGTAAACGTTCGTACACAAAGTTGAAATATTGATCATAGCTCTTGATATACTGAAAGGGAAAACGTTGTAATACACTGACTTTGTTTTGTCGTTGTAATTCTTTAGCAATTCTCAGACGACGTGTATCAATACATTACAATTGTTTGCTATGTTCGAAAATTCTTATTGGCGATAGAGCAGCAGGATCAAGAAACCCATTTGCCAAAGCAACATATGTTTCACTGACACTCATTGCGCCATTTGAAAATGTTGGATGTAAAAATTCTTGTGCGTATCGCACAGTACTATAATCAATATTCGAGGTCCACATTCGTCTTCAAGCTCACTATTATTGTTTTCTATAATAAGATGTTAAACAAATAAACACATGAGTCAAGACTAAACTAGAAAACATGATTGCGATTGTTATGTATCAACACCAATCACGTATTTAACTTCGCTTTCAATTTGAGTAGTGTGTTTAACTCATAAGAGTGTGATGGTGTATAGGCACTGCGCAAACACCCTGTCAATATCGATGTTCGCTCGAAAGATGTCGCGCTTATCTTGAAAATATTTTTTGTTTATTTAATTGTGCGCCTCAAAACAAAAATGGCTAAAGCTCATTAATAGTGTAAGAAAAAAAGGTAAAAACCAATAAATCATATTGTTAATAATCGTAATGAATGTGTTTGTTCGATAAGAAACTATTTCGAGGTCGTTACCTTGAAAACGCCATTTTAAAAAAATTGACCGATGGAAGTAATTGTTTCATTGATGCCCTTTTCTTGGTATTATACGGAAAGAAAATTGGATGAAATAAAATAGAAAAGTAAATCCTTTTTAACTCAAGTAGCTTTCAATTGTTAAAAATCAACAGTCAGACACTAATGGTGTGCGGAAGATTTTTTTCTAATCGTTTTTTTTCAACAAGTACGTATTATTCTACGAAATCATGGATGGCTCAACATGTATCCGATCCATATGTTCGTCGATCCGTCAAAGAAAATTATCGAGCACGAAGTGCTTTTAAATTGATCGAAATCAATAATATGTATAAATTTCTCGAACCTGGTCATGCTGTTATTGATATGGGTGCAGCTCCTGGTGCATGGTCACAAGTACTCGTGAAAGAAGTTAATGCTCGTATTACAAAAGGAAAGAAAACTCAACAACCGTCACAACAACAACTGCACCAAACTGAATTGTTACATCCAAAGGAAATAACATCATTCCATAAAGCGAATCCTGATTTAAAATGTGGAATAGTTATAGCACTTGATCGTAATCCAATTTTTGAAATACCCGGTGCACATATTATTGACGATTGGAATTTAACAGAAGAAACAACCAATGATTGTAATAAACGATTACACGATTTATTAAATCGTTTAAAAATTGATAAAGTCGATGGAATTATTTCTGATATGTGTCCTAATGTTACTGGCTGTAAAGAAATGGATCATGCAGGTGAGAACTATGAACTTGTAATTCAAAAAAAAGAAAACATTACTTAGATGAACTTAAAAGCCTACTGAAGTGCCATTTTTTTATGTCCTTTTCAGCTATTGTGAGACTTCAACGACAAGCTCTCGACTTCACTCGCCGATTGTTGAAACCAAATGGTTATTTTCTTTGCAAATTATTTCAAGGGCAAGATACATTTCAAGAAATGCGTTCATTATTTGAATCTATTTTTCGTATTGTTCATCTGGTAAAACCAAGTGCATCACGTGAACAATCACCGGAAATGTATTTGTTAGGATTGAAATATCACGGTGATGCATCAAATACATTAACCACCACTGCTGATACTAATATTAATAATCCAAGAATCGAAACAAATCGAGACGAAATTAAAAAACTTCTTGCTGAAGCTCGACGCATACGCACGAAGAAAAATGAAAAATAGTACCACGCATTTGTTTTTGTGCAATTTTTACAATCTCTAACGAACAGATGAATATGTATAAAAACATGTATCATTTTTTCTAGATTACTAAAATGCCAATCAAACGAAAAATACGCAATTTACCTAGTACAAATGACGAAGTAAACAGATTCGCGCTTTTTTTGNNNNCCCCCCACCCCCATCCCGAATTGCCTCAAAATTTGTCAGTTTTAGAGTTGTACCCCAAGGGTCTAGGGTTAAAATATTTCGCGGGTTGGACGTTGTTTGGTCGAGTTATAAAAATTTCAAAATTTGAAAAAATCGATTTTTCCAGCTATTTTGATGTCAGCGGGAAAAGTAATTCTTACCGAGTCCCCTACTCGTATAAAGCTTTCTAAAATAGTTTCGTCTTCGCAAACTTGTTCACTAGATTCCTCTCTATGGGGTGACATTTTTTTATTTCAGAAAAAAATTCGTTGCCGTAGAGTTTGAGGCTTCAGCATTTCTCTGAAATGGGATTTTTTTTCAAACAATGAAAAAGTAGTCTTAGGGAAGGATTGAATTATACCCTTTGGCATGATTAGTTTTCAATGAAACTTACTGTGTACAAGAGGATATCTACTGGGTACCCCCTCCCCAAATATCAAGGCTCTAGCATATACTGTTCGACAATAATCCCATTGTGTATACGTTACTATGCATATTCCATTGTTTTAAAGATAATTTTCGATAGGAACATCCCAGGTCTCTACGATGTTCCTATCGAAAATTATCTAAAAAATAGTGAAATGTATTCTAATGCAATGGATGTAGCGTATTCGCNATTTTTTTAAATTTTAAGGTGTCCTTTTTTGATCCGGTTTATTCGAATGAGATCATGCAAATGAATGATGATGAGAATAAAAATGATTTATTAGCTGACGGTATACCACGAGGAATATTCGAACAGGAAAACAAGGATGAATTAAATGAAACGTACGATACGGACACAATAACAAATAACGATGATGACAATCGATTGTCAGAAGTATGAAAAAATGAATATTAATCAAAGAAATTTATTTTGATGTCTAGACGGTTTCCGCATCGAAAATTGTTAATCGTATAAAACAAATACAGCGTTCCATCGAACAAGCCGAAGAAATGCTGATATCAATGGATAAATTCAAAGATTTAGTTGTAAACGCTTCGTGTTTGTGATATGACTTCAAATACTTTTTGTTTTGTTTAATTCTAGCCGGATACTGATGGGCAATATGAAAAGCTTCGTTCACTTATTGTAAATCTTCAAGAACAACAAGCGAGTTATATCAATTTACTTAATTTAATTACGGTAAATCACTAGAGTAAAATCGATCTGCATTCGTGTCTTTAACAAGACGAATGATGTCCTTCTCGTTCATTTTTTTTACTATTAACCTTATAGAAAAAAAAAAGATGATTAAAGCAACTCAAAAGAATTTTATATTAGTATTTGTGTAGGAAACTCACCCCATCTAAATACATAGATCGACATTGTCAAACAAGTCATCAAAAGAATGTCGCCTCTTCGTCTAGAAGATTTGATCGAACGAATGGGGGAAGCATTAGCTATAGATATATTTATTTGAGTTCATAGAAAAACGAGTTGGGTAATTTGATATTGGTTTGGTTTTTGTTGAATATTTAGCTGACAACTGAAGAGCACTCGACATCCGATCGGCGAATGCAAATGAGTACGCATGATGATAATGTAGGCATTTTGAAAAAAAAACTGAGCCATCCAATTGAATTTTTGCTTTTATTAATAAATTAGAATGATTTATCACTACGACATAATGTTCAATCGCATGTAAAAAGTAAAATAGGTGCTGGACCACAAACGATGAGTTTATCGGACATCGAACAAATCAATCGTAATGATAATTCGAATTATGATTCACTTATTGGAAGTCTTAAAAGTGATACAGTCAATTGGCAAGATCAACAAGCTACTGTGAGTAAAAATATTATTGCAGATTTTCATAGTTTGACGAGTGTTTTTCTCTCTTCTATTCAAGTCTGATGACGAAGAAACCGATATTGAAAGCGATAAGGAAATGGAAAAAAATTTACTGCTACAAAAAGAACAAGTAAAAACTAGCAGAAACTTGATTGAGATTACCATTATATTTATTTTCATGTTTAGCTTCGTGCTTTACAGGGCCAAAAACGAGCATTGATTGCTCTTAAACGACGTTCAGAAAAACGTTTAATTGAACAACAAGAATTATCCAGTAAAAAAAGCACAACTCCTAAAACAGCAAACGAAGAAAACATGCTTCTGTCGGATATTAATAATATACGTGATCGGTATGAATAAGAGTCAATCAATTTTTTGAATAAATTTATTTATTGTATTTAGCTTAAAAGTACTTCGAAGTCTTTACGATGAAAAATATCAGCATGAAATTCAACAATTAAAAAAGTAAGTTCTATTTTTTCGCTTGTATCTCATATTCTTTCCTGTTCATTTAGTTCATCCAACAAACCGCAAAGAGAAACAGAAGGTCGTTTGAAAGACCTCGAACATGTTCGCGAACGACTAGATGAATTAGAACAAGTCGTAACGCATTATCGAGCCGATTTAAACGATGAAGAAACCTCTAGCCAGCTAGATAACGTATCTTATTTAGAAACATATTTACAGCATAGATCTCAAACAAATAATAGTGAAGCTCATCAGCAACTTGATAAAACATCAAATGAATTAGCTGCTAAAAGATTGTAAGTTTTCATTATAAATTCAATCGCTTGCTTGATATTTTAAAAGAGAGGTCTCGTTGTAGATTGTCCGAGGAAATAAATTTCAACGAGATGTAATTGAGACCTCTTTATTTAGAAAAATTAAGACAAAATCTCAAGTTTGCCATTTCTTTTTATAAAAAGTACATGTCAAGGTTTTCAGCTCAAGGAAATCAATTGAACCCCTAAAAGAACTAATGAGAGTCTCGGCGTAATCTTATTATAGATGTTGCATCCGCTCGTGCTATTGTATCTTCTCCGATAACCAGAAGGGGAAACCTCTAAACTCTTATTTTCTAAATGTATAATCAACCACAAATGTTCTCTATTTTTTTTAGAGAACTCGAACAAGCAAAATTGGCATTATCTCAACTTCAACAAATGGTCAAAACCATTCAACCTGACGAATTTTCATCGTCTGCTAATTCTACGCCCATGAAGAAGAAAGCATCGTCGAAAAATAATAGTTTTGAATTTTCTACCAATCCTGGCGTTTTTACTCCGGGCTCATTGGAAAAAATTCAAACTGAAACACCTATTATAAATAATAAATCTTCTCTTTTATCTCATATTCTTTCATCTCAAACAGTTCCACAATCTCTTCCGGCAACTTCTGTCGATAGTAAAATGTTAGCACAGCATCGTGAAATTGAACGCTTAATCGAATCTCGTCAACGTTTACATTCAATAAAAGATCAAATTGCTTCATTACAACAAACTATGACAACACCAACTATTCAGAAAAAGACTGATTTAACAAACGAACCAAAACTTGATAATGATAGACTGAACGATTCGAAAAATATTCGTCCAACATATAAATCGTATCGTCAACAAGGTTTGAATCAAAGTGATAATAATCTTGACTTATATCCTCTCGATGACGAATCAGAAACTGGCGAAGAATCTGATGATGATAATAATAATAATAATAATAATAGAAATTATTCTTTTCAATGTCATAAAAAGCAAACGGTATGATAAAATACATTTCAACGTTGAACAAAATAGAATTTTATTTTTTTTAGAATTTTTGTGCCTCTGAAAATGTCGCTGCAAAAAATGATCAAAATTCCGATGAATTAAGCAAACAAATGCGTGAAATATGCCGATGTTTATCAACATTCATTGATGAACAAAAAACTTTCAATCGGCATATAGAAGAACGTCTCACAACTGCAACAAATTCAACGATAGTGCCAATTGTCAATGCAAATTTTAATCAAATGCAACAACAAAATTTAACACAAAGTCTCGTTGTTAATTTAAATGCAGCCTATCGCGAAATAGCTGTTTTACAATCGGAAATCAATGCACTTCAATCGGAAAATCTTCGTTTAACATCATCATTATCGTTTGACAATCAATATCATCAGAATGTTCCTTCTTCATATTCAAGACATAATTCCAAGGATTCAATCTACAGTCTTGATCGTATTAATCCAAGTATTCGTCCAAGACCACGTTCAAAATTCGATGAACAATCCAAACCACCACAACAACAACAACAAACTCGTCTTGTAACAACAAATAGTTTATTTGAAAATTCAAATAAAGCATCATTCAACAGGCAAAGTACCGGACTACCAACAGCGATTCAATTCGAAAAAAATCATCAAGAAACGAAGCCAATTAATCACGGAAAAAACGGTTAGATATTAAAATTTTCAATGAGTCTATATGGAAACAGCATGCATGTTTTCCAATGAGTAGTAGTCATTTGGTGCCGAAAGTCTTTGCCGGCTTTCCGATGTTTTAAAACTATAGGAGAAGACACACCAGGAAGGTGGTGCTCGTGCTGTGCCCTCTTTCGCTTTGAAAAAAATTAAGATTTTCAGAACTAATTCTCCCCCGGATGTTCACGATCTCCAACAATAAATTCAATTTATTGTATTTTAGCGAAGCTCTCGAATGACTGTGGGTCATCGCCAAAAGCGATATATCTACGTTCGAAACCAATATCTGCGAATACTGACCTTTCAACTCAACGGGATAATTCAACAAACGAAAACACTTCAAAATCCTTTATAATTCGTCGCCGGCCAATATCAACTGATAATGATAACAATGAATTATACAATTATAAACAAACTACAAGCAATCATTTTGATAGTAACAATGAACAAAAATCAAAAAATGATTTTTCACTAAATATGTTTAATCCGCAACCGTCCAGCTGTTTTACATCGGCAACTCAAGTATTCTGAAACTTGATCATATAATCGGAAACATTTTTTTAAATATTTTATTCATTTAGAATTTGGAAAATATCGACACACAAACACTTGATTTACAAGTTAAGTCAATTATGGTTCAATTAATTCCGTATGTCATTGTTTAGTAAAAAAATGATTTTTCAAGCGTCTTCTTTTCCCTACTAGTTTCATGCGATTACGTATAGATGAAATCTTCAATCGATCTACATTAAATCATACTCGCGAGCGTATTTTATTTTTATTTAAACAGCAACCGGATTCAGCTGAATTTATACGTCATTTTCAAAATGAGTTTTCTGAATTAATTGAAAAAACAACTGAAAAATATATTGGCTTAAGGTAAAATATTATGAACGTTACGATTAATCATTTAATAAATTCAATATTTTGTTAGTATTCGTGAATGTGCTGCCGATCTAATTCGTGATTTATCAGATGTTGCATTTGATGAATTAGTCAAATATAAAATCTACGAAACTAAAAGTAATTTACAAACAAAAGTTCATGTTGAACACAATACGCAATTATCAAGCAAACAAGAAAATAAATTTGCAAATTTGGTAAACATGTTTTATTAGAAATATACTTTTAAAAAAGTGATTTTTATTCTAGTATGATCCATCTGCTGGATATCAGGAGCACAGCAACAATCCCAATTTGATGATGGAGAGAATGATGGTAAATATCATATCGAATTGGCGGAATCAGAAAATCGACCATTAACATTGTATGTATTAATTTAAAACTCTGACTAAGATTTATCAGAGAGCCACTGGGAGAATTTAATTTACTTGATGAGATCTATTCACGAAAAAGGGTTCTTAAAAAGAAAGTCATATTTTAGTGTTTGACAGCTACTGAGTTGAAAATTTTTTTATACGGTTTACATATTGTCTAGAATATCACAGTAAAAACAGTCCGACGTTTTCTAGTTCGGTATGTGTTTGTTTGTTAGAAAAATTTCTCATTTTATGCACCTTGGAATGGCTTGAATTTTTAGAGAAGCTTCTTCACTGATATTGCGATTGCAGCAACAATGCATAGTTTTTTTTTTCTTCAAATTTTTTTTGATGAATAGAATTGGTAGTGATGAAGAAGATAATGATGCTGATCAAGAAGAAACTACTGATAGTGAATTAGAAACAGCTGTATCTCGTCAAGGAACTTATTTTGATGAAAACGACAGTCCACTTCCGACTAATTTGAATTCCAATGGGCACGAATATGTTCTGGTCAATCGTTCCGAAAGTGCTAATATTATGCCTGAAGATGAAGAACCAAAAACAGAAGATGATGAGAATGAAGAAATCGATACTTCATAAAGTTTGAAAAACCATTTCACTCTGTATGATTTTAACCGTTTCTGATTATTGCAATGCGATTTTCCTTACGCTTTGTTTTTTTTTATTGTATTGTGTGTGTGTGTGTGTTTGTTTGTGAATTGTATACAAATTCAGCATTCCATCCATTTGATATTGTCGTTTTTGTTCTCCTACTGTTGTGTACTCAATTTTCTTGCAAAGCAAAAAACAATAATTGTCGTCTGTTGATTCCAGTTTTTATCATCTTGTAAATGACATTAATGCTTTTACTTATTACTGCTTAATAAATCTTCCTGCATCGCACAATATTAAATAGTTTTCCAATAAATATCGGCCGAGTTGCTGTCAAGTCTAGAGGTTACTTTCCAAGTAAAACATTTCCGTTGACCTTTGAGTTCTATGATCAGATTCGGTCAAATGTCAAGCGTATCCTATTAATCTTCGTACATTCAACGACCATAAAAAAAAACAGAGCTTTGTATGAGATGAGATGGGATTTGTCCCGTCGCAGATGAAGCTCTGACATCTAATAACAAGAAGAAAAGCTGTTGTTTTTATGAGATAGAATATCGACATGCTTTTTTCCTGAAATTAATCATATGAAAGATTATGTGGAAAAAAACACATTGATGATTTTATGATTTTCAGATGTTTTTGTTTTCTTTTGTCGACAAGAATAAGATGCGACGAATAGGATATGATTGAAAAATGAGAAGATTTATGATAAGCGCAGCTGAAACACTGATTATTTAGTACAGCATAGCTAATAGCATATTCCAGGGATCCAATAAACATTTACTTGTTGTTACAATTAAGACCATTTTCAGACTGTGGGTGTACACAAAAAGCACCAACGCAAAAGTCGACTCGCTTATTGAAAGGAATATTCATGGTGTTGTTTCGATGCTAAAATAAAGATAACCCTTGATATCTAATGTCATTGGGCCTATGCTTCATTATGTAATGGATTCTGTTTCAGAATAGGTTTGTAGACCAAAGTTCGTCTCCACAGACAAACATTGTAGTGATATGGTATGATTTGTTTTGTGTCGAGCTATACTAAGTATGTTATCAAAACAACATTAACGATTTTTTCCTGGGAAAATATTGTATACATAGACATATAACATTTGGCCTTTCATCTCTATATCAAGGGCTTGGCAGACAGAGACAGCGATAACACTGGAGATTTGTAATTCTCGTTCCTGATTTAGATTATTCTCATTGGTACGGAATATTTCTACAAGTATTTCCAGTTATTGGATTAAGTTATTGACAGAGATAGAGAGAGAGGGAGAGAGAGAGAGAGAGAATGGGAAAAAACAATTCTATATAAACTTCGAACTTTACTCGTAACTTTATTTTTTGCATACTCATTACAGCAAACAACACGCCTATATTGCTGTATATTTCAAGACTCGTTTTCAGAGCTCCAGTGATGGCTCCATCGTTAAATCTCTATTCTATTTTAATCGTATCACTCAGTAAGACGAATTTAAATTGAAATGATTATCTCGGATTGATTTCTATAGTCTATCGAACATCGGCTGCGCCCATATCTCCAGCAACTAAGCCCGATACTACATGTTCATCGGGTACGTTCAAACATCATTGTCACTTTAAAAACAAAAATTCCAATGTTTTTAGCTCAACTTATTGCACCTGGCCAAGACTCATTAGTCTATCAATATAAAACAGAAGTCAAACTCTCTGTTGCTAACAGTCAATATGATTTAAAAACTGAGATTACTGCCAGTGTAGAAATTAAGAGCTTAGGTGATTGTAATTATGCACTTCAGGTAAATATGTGCACCAACGATATCATTTTATTTAGTTAAAACGAAAGAATATTTTTCTAGCTTCGTAACGTAAAAGTAACTGAAACCAAAGACGAAAATGAAAACAGCGTTACATCAACAGCAAATGCTCAACGAGACCTTGAAAATCTTGTTGTACGTTTTCGATGGATCGATGGTTTTCTTGTTGTAGTTGAAGCGGATTCGTCGGCTAAAATCGATCATGTCAACTTTGTTAAAGGCGTTCTTAGTACACTTCAAGTCTATTCACCTGTAGCAACCGATAGTGAAACTGTGGTAAGTTATCATAGAATAGAAAGCGACACATTGGATAACAATGAATTTGATTGTTCTATGAAAGGTCCGCGAAGAAGATGTACTTGGTGTATGTACGACTGTATATAAATATTCCCAAAGAGATGGTGTGACACAAGTGAAGAAAAGTAAAGATTTAACAACATGTTCAAAAGATAAATTACATTTAAGTTCAAGTCCTATTCTAACTTCATTACTTGGACCTCTTGTAAGTTTCGAGTAAACGAACAAATCTTTTAGACGCTACAATTATATTTTAGATGGAAGAAGTTTTTACGGCTAAAACTCGTTATATATGTCAAACAGAAATTCGCGATAAGAAAATTCAATCTGTTAAATGTAAAACAATCGAAATGGACGCAGATGATACTCGAAAATCAACTCAGAAAAATCAAGACGATGATGATAGTGCTGAAGAAGATTTCAATGCCAAGTTTGATAATAATGATGATGATGATGAAATTTCATCAAAACTTATTTCTATCAAACAAGAATTAAAATTGCAACCAAGCGTATCTGTTTCAGTTGATGAAAGTTTGTTGCTGAATATTTTGTAAAATGAATAGAACCTAAAATTTATTTGTTTTTTTTTCTGATTAAGATGCTGTTAAAAATCCTGTTCCGCAAACATTACAATTTGTTCCAACAGCGTCATTCGATCAATCCAATGAAGTTGTATCGACATTGGTAGCAAAAATCCAAGGACTTTTAAAAACAGAACACTGGAATGAATTTGCTGCTTCACAATTTGTAGAAATCACCAATGAATTAAGACGTATGGATAAAGCAAATCTTCAAGCATTCAAAGATAAATCGGAACTCAAGTAAGTATCTTTCAACAGGAAAGTTCGGTTGATTCAATGACTAGAAGTTGTATACGAAATATATTCATGTGAATTTTTCCTATTTAACAGACATTTGGTACCAGCATTTCTCAATACAGTTTATTCACACGGTCAAGATGCGTCATTATTGAATTTTAATGCCGATACGTTGACATTCACTAATCCATCATCAGTCTACTATTTGGACAACCCGTCAACAGAACTAGTGGATCAAGTTGTTCAAGGTGCAAGTCGATTGACTACTCAGCAAGTAGTCGATTTTGTTGGTGTTGCTGCGAGAATTCTTAAAACATACAAATCTCGACAAGATAATATTAAAGATGCAGATAATGTATGTGTTCTAGACAAATCCATTGAATTACTATTTTTTTTTCTTTTAGAAAATAAAACAATTTAAACAAGCTACGTCACGATTTTTATTAAACGAATCCGGTGCTAAAAATGACACGAAAACAGCTGTACTATCTGCTTATGCTCAGTTAGGTTTATATGATGATCAAGTACTGTCGTTGGCTATTGATGATACAGCACCATTAGAAGTTCGATATCATGCACTTAATGCTATTCGTTATATATCGAGCGTTTATCTTGATGATACAGAACTATATAACATACGACAAACTCTGCGATTTAGTTTGTTAGGACAACTCGAAAATAAAACCAATAAAAATGCTGTACGAATATGGACATTTCAAGCATTATATTCTCCATTTATTTACGATTCGGATATACGTTATCTGTTTAGTGGAAGTTTAGAAGACAAACTTCAAGAAATTGTTGATGAACCACTCAATCAGGTAAAATGAATATGTCCCCTGATCGAGATATTAACTAGAGAGCATAAAGATTCATAGGCGGCGGAGCACTTAGGCTAGGGGAGGTTTAGTGAAGCTCAGTTATGTGATACAAATCCTAATTTCATCGTTATTCTATCTCTGATAAGTGAAAGCGGTTAGAAAAGCTATGCTATTTTTTCTCCGAAGTAATGTTCAGCCTGAGGATGCGTATGCTGCATGTGTTTCAAAATATTTTCACTTATTCATACTAGCGCCTCATTTATGAAGATGAAGGGGACTACGATGAACAATGGCACAACAACGCTTTAATAATCTCCTTATTCCTCATATTCATAAAATGCAAAAACTCACAGTAGAAAAGCTTTTTTAGGCATGAATAATAGTTTTTGTACTTACGACTTTGCTATTTGCTTTAGCCAAGGTTTAAGTTTTGTATGTTGATAATGAAATAAAAATTTTGATAGTGTAGTAGAATTCTCGATTGCTCTGAAGTTGTGCAATTGGGTCAGTGAAGAAGGTGTTTTGAATGAAAGTTATAACCAAGAAATTAAAAATCTGCTTCCTCTCGCTATTTTCAAAACAAAATGTGAGCCTCCCCTAAATTAGAAACATTCCATCGCTTATGTATAGATTGAGGGATACACACAAAATGAAAGCTCATTACTGTTAAGCACTGTGAAAAAATATATTTATTTTATACGATTGTTTCAATAGGTCAATGGTTTTATTTGGTCAGCTCTTAAATATTCATCACTTAATCCGTTATGTCCTTTACGTGGTCTTGCTGCACGAATTCGCGTAAATCATAACAACAGAAAACAATTTTTAGAACAAGCCACATTATCTTCGCGACAAATTCGACTTGAAATACCGCTTGGTAAAAATTATCAAGCCTTCGTCGATGTTTCTGTTATATTTGAAAATGATCGAGTTGTACCGTCGTTTCTAAGTATTAAATTAGCGTTTGATGGCGTTCGCCGTGAAACGCTTCGTTTGCCATGGGTTGATGTTGCGATAATCAGTGAAAATCTTGATTGGAATTTTGCTGACTATTTCTTACGATTAGATCCATTGAATAAAAATCTTAATGATGATGAAAAAAGTCGACTTAAAACTAATTTACCGTCCAAGTTAAAACAACATCAAGATGTGAGTAAATTTTGAATCCCAAGGAAAATAAAAACTTCTGTTTGTTTTCATAGACTTACGATGCAAAAGAAGAAGATCCTAATCCATCTGTTCATCTCTATTTGAGATTATTTGGTACGGATGTACGCGCCAAAGATATTACGGACAAAGTGCAAGATATTCTCCGTAGTAGTTTACGTAAATTTATTGGAAGTCAAATACTAACACGATTGAACGAACTCGTCGGCAAAGATCCTATCTTTCGTATACCATTAGAAATCGGTGCTGTATCAGGAACTGCTAATGGTTTGGCATTATATAAATCAGCACAAGTTGCCGCACTTCTTGATTTAACAACTGAGTTACGAAATACTCAAGATGACGCTGGCCTAGGAATATATTCAATGACAAGTCGATCAGCGTAAGTTTGAAATATAAATCTTTTTTTGTTATAAACATAAAAACGTTTCTCTTTTTGTTTAGATTAAGTTTTTCTTTAACAGTTCAACGTGAAGTATCATCGCCATTGACTACTGTTGGTGAAACAGTGGAAATCGGTATTCTATCTTATGTTCCATTTGAATATAAAACGGAAGTCAATAATCAAGGGCGTACACGTGAATTTAACCTTCTTAAACCGAATTCAAAACTTTTTGCAATGGAGTAAGGGATTTTATTTTTATTTTTCAATGATGATAATTTTGTTTCTGTCTAGCTTCCAATATGCAACGCGTACATCACATGGTTTTGAGCTAGTTCCAAATAAAAAAACGCCCAGTATTGATCCATCATGTTCACCGAGTGCCTTTTATCGTACATTAGGTGTACGAGCTTGCTTAGAACTTAATCCCTTCCGTTCAATTCAATTCGGCAAACGAAATTCATATCCAATAACTGTAAGTGTAACTACTAAAATGAACATCCTTTATCCAGAAAGCAATCTTTCACCTTTAGGTAACGGTCAACAGAGATCCGTCAATCAAAAACTGGCGTCTTGGTTGGCGTTTTAATGCTCAAGAAGCACCACAATATGAAGTCATCATTGAAAAAGTTGGCACAAATCAATCCTATCCTGGTATATTGAAATAAATTCGTGCATACGATTACACGTCGTTCTTTTGTCTTTCTAGGTTTGGGCGTGTCTGCTACAAAAGATGGCAATAAATTCGATATTAAGGTTTTAACTGGCATGAAATCATTCAACGTTAAAGGTAAAACAAAAAAAAACAGGACATTTCTTCTTATTCTATTATACATAAAAGGTACACAAACGGGTGAGACATTTAGCGGTACAGTATATTCGAGTGACAACAACGAAGTGATGACAACATCGGGAACATTGGCGATTAATAACGATGGTTTTAAATTGGAAAGTAAACTTTTTGATATTGCAAGCAAAAAAGAAGTCGTCACATTAACAACTGATATTCTACCAAATCGTGGGCAAGGTCTTACAGCTAATTTTGGTTTAACAACACCCGATAAAGCTAAATCTTTTAAAGTTCAATGTAAGCTTTCGTTTTTCATGAAATTTCAGATATTCTATTTGTAATCGTTTTGATAAGTTCTTGGTGATTTATATAAACCGAATTCAAAAAAAGTTCATATCAACGGAGATTTTAATCTTGGTGAAACATCATATAATGGAAAACTATCGTTCGAACGTGATAATGATCATACACGTATTGAATTACAACGTTTATTTAAATTAGGCCAAAGTTCATCAGCTGCGGGATACGAATTTTTTTATGAACGTAAAACAAATCAAGAAGCGACTCAAAGCAATTATAATATTGCATCCCATGTTTCATTACGAACGCCAGCTAGTGATGTATCCACGAAATTATTCAATCTCAAAACAGATTTCACTCGTACCATTGATTTATCGAATGTAACACTGCAAAGTTCACTTGATTATTTACTGGTAACACGTAATCCACCGGTACAAGAAACAATCGAAATCGATTATACAAGACGATCAGCACGAATAACTAATCAAGGAAAACGTCTAACATCACCGGAAGCTAATTTGAAAGTTCAAGTTAAAACAAAATCGAATGTTTTCAATTTTCTTCTTGATCATCGACACCGAAAGAGTTCGGAATCATCGAAAAAAGGTTTGATTTCATAATTTTCTGTTCTAATATTTTAAAAAATATCACCGGCTCTCTCATTTTGTTTTTGCCTAGGACCTGCAATGCTTCCACCAACTCTTGACATCAACAATAAGATTCATGTTGTTGTCGATACAGATAAATTATTTCCTGATATTCCACACCAAGTTGCGTTTGATATATTATCTGATCTTGATTTTCAATTACTCAATGAAGTAAATTATAAATTTCAATACAATCTACCTCGCCGTCAACGTTCCGGACTATTTACATATCATGCACAAGTAGATAAAGTTACTCATGGTCAAGTATTTTCTGGTACAAGTAAAGCTGAATTACAATTGGACAACAAGCAAATACAAGTTACGGGTACGGGTACTTTCGATGTTTGCCTACGATCGTATACATTGAAATCCCATTGGGATTTTGATACGAACCTTGTCGAAGAAAAAAACGATATGGAACTTTATTTGAATCTTCGTTTTGATAAACATCCTAAGAAAGATTCGCCAAAATCATTAATAACTTTTTACGATGTTAAGTTGAAAGCACCTAAACATAAATTATTTCAATTAATTGATCTTGATGGCAATCTAACAAAGCAATCAGGTAAATTCGAAACATGGAATTCAATCGCTATTCGAGCAAATAAAAAATTAAAAGAAATCAATTTAAACGCTTTTATGTATCGTAATCTCACTGGTGATAATACACTGCAAACACATATTGGATTTTCATTACCATTTAAATATCTACCGTATGTAACACACGATTTAAAGATTGAAAGAATAATAAAAACCGGTGATTTTGGCTTTCTTGAATCAAGATTAATTGCTAAACCAGTTTTTGCACACTATGCCCGACTGGATGCATCTCCTACAGAAAGAGCTCACATCAGTATAGATAATGAAATTGAATATTTACGTGCTAATGGAGATAGTTTATACGCTCTTTCGAAAATATATATGTCAGGTGCTCCAGCATTACACTCATTCGGTTTATTGAAACGAAATTCAGATTTATTACATAAACATTCAATTGGTTTTATTTCTTCATCGAAAACGAAAAAAGTCGCCGTTTCATTAGTGAGTCCACAAATATCGTCAAATCCATTGAGTATCATCGGAGAATTCACCATGGATCGAGAAAATCACATTGGAAAAATGAAATTACCACAGGAATTCGGAATTCATTTCGAATTCGGTACTCCCATATCAAATTTAACTGCATTTCGCATTTTCTACAATTTGCCACTATTCAATAAAAACCATAGTTCAACAGCTGATGGATCCGTTGGATTTAAAATTGCTTCACCAGTAAGATAAATGAAATCTTTTTTTTTTATTCGATTCAGTTCCTTTTTTCTAATAGAAAATTGCTCCAATTAGCTTCTATCTCCATTCGAAAGGTTCCCTGAATACATCACTTCATCTAGTCGAAGCTTTACGTATTGGTAACGATATTGCTGCGCATAGTTCATTAACTGCTCAATACAATCCTCAATCAGTCAGTCTAGTTAGTACTACAACGAGTACACAATTTTACGGAAAAAAATGTCAAAGTTCATTGTATGCTCTATTTAAACAACATCAAGTTCTTGTACGAGGTCTTCTAAACACCGCTGATAATGAAAATTATACATACGAAATGGATGTCGGTTTAGATAACGATTCACTTACAGGACATACGGAGCGAACGAACGGACAAGAAACAACTATTTCAGATATTGATACTAAAAAATGTACTGCAGCTGGTAAATATCATCGTTGCTATAAAGGTGATATTACCGTTCGAACGGGTACTAGTAGTTCGGAGAATAAAGGCACATTTGATATAAGTTGGGGTCGTGACGCTGCTAAATTGGACATTAAAGTTTCCAATCATGTTGAACTTTCATTTGACCATGCACATATTGGTCGTGTACGTGATGCTGATTTTAGTTCGAAAACAAATATCGAAGGAAAAATCTTACAACCGAACAAACGAGGTGCATTCACTTTTTCAAGTTCAATTGAAAAAGAAGATGACAAATGGAATGATGTTAAAATTCAAACTACATCAAACGATATGACAACAGGACAAAAATCTTCGGTATCAGATATTCGTTTCAATCAAAAAATAACTGATAAACGTTCGGGGCAATTTCAACGTAAGTTTAATGTTAATGTTGAACGTCAAGGTCTACCTGCTATTATTTGGTCAAGTGATTCGTTCAGTTGTTCAAATAATCCATCATATGTTATCTATGGCGTGTGTCAAACAACTACGTTTAATATCAAAGCAAATAATCTATTAATACAACAGGTACGACAACGTCTTCAATTAACCGTTGATCCACGTTTATCGAATCCTCTCGGTCAAGTAACTTATGATGGTACATTAAATTTAGATTTAAAACACGATCCAACATTAGGTCCGCATACAGTTAAATTTGATTTAAATCGTTTGAGAGAAGAGGCTATTGATCTTGATCTTTCATATCAAAAACGAGTTGATGAAAAACCGATGAGTCTGAATTTGAAAGTAAATATTCCACAGCAAAATCCAATATCGATTAAATATGATGAAACAATTCGTTCGAAAACAAGTTTTAATGGTGTTTTGAAATATTCATTTAATGCAAATGATAGTGCAGCTGAAAAAACGTATACGTGTGATGTTAACCAACCGTATGTTGATAGTTATTCAATGAATTGTCAAGGTGAACGAACAAACTTAACGATTGATATTGGTCCTAAGACTGGAATAACGAAATTTATCGTGGATTTAAATCGCTTTACAGGTGAACGTATTGGATATGAAACGGCGTTCAATTTCAGCACCAGAGAACTTGAAACTACTTATTATACACTTGTTACTTCATGGATGATGAAATATCGATTCGGAAAATTATCAGAAATCATTGCTAAACAAAAAGATCTAGAAGTCCTACGTATTACAACTTCAAGAGCTGACTTTGATGGATTTAAAATTCGATTTTTACCTGCCAATATTGAACTTAAGTAATTTTCCTATTGAAATTTTAAAGAGAAATCAATATGAGAAGCCTTTGATTATTTCTAGACTTGCTTTTGATCCTAAATCAAACACCTTTTCACTTAGTGAAACATATCCTCAACAACGAGATTATGTCAAAATAACCATTGAAATTGAACGAATTCGTCGCTATATGCCATCGTTACGTAATGTAAATCGACCATCCTACGATATCGACGACGAGCCAGCAAAATCACAAGAGCCAATATTTAGAATTCAATTGGATTCTTATATTTTAATTTCAGTATCGCAAGCTCTTGGCAAAATAGGTTCACACAATGGTCTATTCGGTTTAGAAACAGTTAAGAAATCATTTAGATTACAAATTGGTAATGCACCATTAACAGTTTATAATATTCAACATTGGAAAACTCATCTTGAAAATATTCAATTACCAGAAAGTTATTCAATTCGAATTGTTAATGATGCAAATGGAAATAGTGTACAATTAGCAACAAATAAATGGAATGAAAATCGATTAATATCGACGATTAGTCATTCATTTGATGGTGGTAAAACGCAAACAACTGATTTGAAATTAGATCGAAATTATGCATATCAAGTTGGTTCAATTTATTTTCTTCATAGTTTAGGTTATAGAAATATTCAAGGAGTTAAACAACTTCGAGTAAGTGTACCATTCGATCTTTCTTTTACCAGACTGTTGCCGTTGTTTTAGAACTCTACTCGTCAATTTATTTGTGAACATTTAACAAAAGATTTAGATAAAACAAATCTTGCTGAATTTATTCAAGCTTCAGGAAAACGTGTACGATCCATTGTGGAAAAAGATTACGCAGCTCTTATAGAAATCTTTACAGCATGGAGCAAAGAACCCGAAAATAGTTTCTTGCGAAAACTAACGTAAGTTCCCCATGTGAGAAGAAATAGCGGGTGATCGAAAAGCGTTCAGCCCACAACTTCCTCCCACCCTCCTTCTCATTTTCAGGTGAAAGATTGTCTACAACAATATTATTTTTTAGCACTCGTTTCGGTTTACTTGAATTCTTTACTAAATATCCAACATATGCTGAGGCATCTGATCGTGTCGCTGCTATTCTTGACGAACGTCATGTTCAACGTGGAGAGTTCTGGCGTAGCCGTGTAGAAGATATTCTTAATAATAATCGTCTTAAAGATTTATCGCAGCAATTTCAAACACGTCGTTCGGAAATAATACAATATTTGTTGAGTGCATCGGAAAAAGCTCTTGATCGTTTCTTACCGAAAATCGATCAAAACAATATCGATGAACGTATAGTGAACTTCGTTCGAAAACTATTGGCATCATTCGAACAAGTTGCAAAACGAAATTCCGAGCAATGGAAAGCTATATTTAAAGCTATCGATGATGCAAGCAAAGGCGACGATAATAAATGGTTTCGAGTATTAGTTGCTGATATTGATTCAAATGCAGTTGCTGCAGCAGCTGATGCTGAATTAACAAAAGTATTTAAAAAATTAGATGATTCATCGAAATTATTGATTAGTAATATACAACAAATTTCACGACGCATTAATCAACGACGAGAATCTATTCGAGAACGTGTTCAAAATGCTATTCGACATTTGCCGAAGGTTAAAGAATTCTTCTATCTAAATAATTATTTTGATTATTCTTCATCTGTTAGGCATCTGTGAATGATACAAATTCTGAAATCTTATATCCAATCGGACGTCGACCAGGCTCCTATAGTGAAACAAGTAAATTAGTACTTTTAATGGGTACTTTACTTAGATACAATAATCGGGGAGTATTTACCATGAAGTGTATCATAAAAGATCGTTTTCAAACACGTGGTGAAACATTTCAACATTACTCAAAAGCCGTGCGTACATTTGCTAAACGTTTATTTAAACGTAATTCATCATTAACACCAGAATTCAGTGCTGTCATTGCAAATACGGGAGATACCATCGATCTTCATGGCGATTATGTTTATCTTAATCCATCTTGTGATTATGTCTTAGCGCACGACTTTGGTGGTTTAAAATTTTCATTTCGTTTTATCTATGGTAAAGTTTATTCAGTATTACCGAATCTAGCTGAAATAAAAGAAAATGAATGTTCAAATACGGGTCGCGTTCAACTATGCAATCGAGGATACTATTCTACTCTTAATGTGCCGATGTATTATGGTTCGTCTGAAAAAATAAAGTTTCAAGTTTATGTTTATTTTTTTTTGTATTTAATTAGGTGGCCTTGTTGATGGTGCACTCGGCGATGTACGTGATCGCAGTGGTAAAGGGCACGCAAACCTTAGTCGCTGGTTAGTGCGAGATTGCCCAGCTGCAACACGTGATCAAACAAAAGAAATTGTACCATCAATTCCGGAATGTGCTAGTGACGATACTGTGAGTTTTACTTTCTTGTTTTAGTCTTTCGAAATATTTTTTTATTTTCTTTTATGATATTAGGATGAACAAGAATTTTGTGAAAATTTTGTTCAACGAGGCACAAAAAGCGGACTTAGTATACGGTTATTAGTTACTCAAGCAATAGCTGTACGAAAAGACGCGTTATAAATATATATATGCGAACAGAACAGAAAAAACAATGAAATTATTTTTTCTCCTTTAGTGTATTTTATTTCTTATCTTACTATATAGCAGAAGGTTAATTTTCATTTTGCATGCTACTTATCTTATTTCCTTATTTTATACACATAAGTTTTAAACTAATAAAAGTAAGGAAACGATGATATTTTGTTTAGTGGGTGTCGAGATAGATCAAGTGAATGTTCAAACTCACACCCAAATTTTGAAATACAATTCAACTGCTCTTATTAATTACAGAGAAATTGTTTTGCTATATAAATCATTCTTCATCTTCTCTCTATTTGAAACCTCCAGAAAAATGTTGCAGCAAACCATTATTGATCTACAGTTTGTGATTGTATAATAGCAATGTATTTACTATTGTCTGTTTCCATCGAGGTTTTCACATAAATGGGTTTCAGCCTGTAAAGTCTTTTTTTTATAGTTGCTTAACACCGATTGAATCGTACTTAAAGATTCAAGAAGCGAGAAGAACTCGAATTCTTGAGACATTAAGAAAAAAAGCTACGAAATCATATTCTCTTGTACAATTTATACATCAAGAAAAAAAGGAAGACATTACACTTTTAATATCTCACAACACTTTATTGTATTACTTTTTCGATCTTCATGTAACATTTACAACAGATCTTAAAAACTCACCATCACATATTTGGATCCTTGTCATATTCACGTAGATGAGCATAATATGTTCCATTAGTTTCATATTGCTGATTAATAGCCGTATTGAATATGTGCCCTCCCAATGTCAGATGTATCAATTCTAGTGAAGATGACCAGATAGGTCTAGATTTATCAATAAATCTACTGAATGCAGATTCACACATGACCCCAAATATAGATTGTATGCATCAATGATGTCGACTCGAGCTCCTGATTCCAACATCATTATATCTATCCAATTTTCTTTTCGCAAATTAAAGAAATCACATTCACTGTGGTTTCGATGTATTAAATGTTCGATTGGTCGCCGACAAAATTCCTTAATTGCTCTTCCACTATTTTGATCATCAATAAATAAACAATCATATTTATCCGAAGATCTTTCTAAATCACTATTGTGAATCATAAGGATAAATAATATTAGTCTCCGCGCAATTGAAACGATGAAATTATTTTACCCTCATTTTTCAGTTAACACTTACATGTGTTAACTGACGAAAAGATAAAAAGAAACGCAAGTCCACTGTATCCACATTATATTTTACTCAACAAGTAATTTCTAACGATCACTATTATATTTACCATCAATGAATTCGTGTGTTACTCTATTTAAATCAGACTGATATATGACAACTATCTAAATAGACACTTTCATAATCTATGACAGTTTTATCTATGCCAAACGTTTTAACAGATTTTAGTATACTTTTGTACAAGTCAAATGTGGCTTTATCGAATAAGAATAGTTTTGAATGTGTTATAAATAGATATATCTCTTTCATGCCGTATAATAGAGTTTTACGTAACGTTTGATATATAGAACGAAAAATAAAGTATGAGTAACTCAGAGTACAGAAAAGAGATTTGATATTTCTTTATATTAGTCACCATCAAAAAATTGTGCGATAATATGCACCATATTTCGATCCATTAGAGCAATATTTTACTCTAAAATTTGATGGAATATTAGTGGGATCATCTTCAATAAAAATATAGATCACTGTCACTTTAAAAACAAAAAACTAGCAGCTGC